AGCAGCATTTGGTAGCGCATTAGTTAAAGAGGAGATGATGATGCTGTACCCCGGTTAAATACGGCGTGTTCCCTTTGCTCAAGCTTTGCTCCATGTAGTTTAGAGACCCTTGGAGGACCTTGGACACCTCTGAACCTTTCCCCTGCAGTACTGCCATGTGAAGAGACTGTAGCAGTGCAGGCTGCACAAAGAAAAAAGAACAGAAATTGAATGACATTAGATCAAGCAGTAAACCAAAGAAGCATGACTGAGGTTAAACAATTCATTTTCTTAAAGCCTACAGAGCATGCCGATAGATTTCTCCAGTACATTGTTCTTTTGAAAGCATGAGCTTTAATCATTTAGCTGCATGGATTTATGTCCCCGTTGGCAAGACATTGAGGAGCGGTAAGAGGATTCTACTAAAGAGAACAGACAAATACATGAACCGAAAATAGTTTGCATTTCAAAGAGGTTTAATGTTTTATACAACAGATTACAAAGGAAACTGAAAGGTCCGTTTTATGTAGAGCTTACCTGAAGATCTGTGGCCTCCCATTCCAGCCACCGATTGCAAAGCTCACTGCAGGCTTGTCCACTTACTTCAAACAGGTATCTAAGGAGATTCCAAGGAAGTCCCGTCAAACTGTTTCATCTCGTTTAGTGTTTTTTGTACCAAACAAACAAACCTTAAATAAGGACTTAATTACAATGTGCTGCCAAATGTTTATATATAGTTTGAAAATGATTTCATGGCAATAACGTTTGGAGGGATGAATTTTACCAATTTAGTTTCTATCAATCAAAGTATAGTTGCTATATTTCCAAATTAAAAACGCTGCTAAAGCAAACGGATTCATTACAATTCATAATATATGAACATGGATACATACAACTGGTGTAACTGGTAAATGGACTCGTACAGCACCCTTCTAGCCTTCTACCATTTAAGATGTTGCACATCTAAACATTATACCGTGGTAATGATTAGCAACTTCCACATGCATGCCAGCTCAGCATTAATACTGTATTTGACCAAGGATGAGGGGCAGCAGTCTACTGACCGGCAGATGGCATTAGGACTGAAAAGGTGCAGACCGCTGGTCAGGAGCAGCGCCGGCAAGGCTGGACGGCTGAGGAAAGGCACCACTCTCTCTGGAAATACAAATAAATAACATTTACTCAAACAACACCTAATAATTAACACACAACAGCGGAGAATATTGTTATGCAGATTAGCATGAATCTACTAGTTATAGACTAGTTTAATGAGATTCTTGAGGTGGTGCAGTCATGTTGTAAAAACATCTTTCTAACAAAAGGAAACTATATAAATTGACCAGTTATTTTATACTTTAGGACTTGGGGTGGGCTGTTATAACACAACGGTGCTCTACTACCGTGCCCCAATAAGAATGTCACCCTTCTATAAAAGTCAGTTACAAATGTATCATATTTACTTCATTCAGTTGATTTATTCGATTCTATTTTACTTGATTTTTAGTATTTTACCCATTTGTTATTATTCCTTTGAGTACATACGTATTGGTATGCTGTGAGCGTTTGCATCTGTGCGTAGGTGCCTATGTGCATTTGATCATGCATCATACACGCTAAACTATTAGTACCGTTATTTATATTATCATGTGACTTCCTTTCTGAGATTGCTGGTCTGTAATCCAATTTGTTGGAAATGTAAAAAAAATGTAAATGCATTAGATCCAACTTATTTTACCCCTTTTGTTCCTATATATGAATCCAACGCTCCATCTTAAAGTCAAACTAATAACACAAGATTCACCAAATGATTTGTGGAAAATACTGTGACCAACTTTTCAGCCTCGATACTAATTACTTGAATCACGTACAAAGAACATAATGGACTTTTAAAGGCCATGGATTTGATCTTCTCTGTGTGTAATTTATCACTAGAACAATTCTGATGATCAAAGGATTATCTTAATTTATCTTGTTACATTTTTACTAGTTTCGTCACTTCAATTTGATATGGCCGTTTTAGATTTCAATACAGCATGAAATATATATTTATTTTTTTTAAAAGATATATTTACCCAAATAAATGTGCAATATTTAAGACTTTGTAATCAATAAATTGTTAAATAACAAAGAACAGATAATCTGAGGTAATCTCAGTGAGCTATTCAATTAATGTTTTCCATAAATAGGGACTTATATTTAACAATGTACTTCTACACCAATGTTCGTATACATTAAGTGTCTCTTAGTACATTTCATTCATATAGCGAGGCTGGGTGCCAGATGGTCTTGGTTAATCACCTCAGTGATCCTGTTCCCACAGACACACATCGCTCACATGCCTGACACAATCACAACATAAGCCCAAAGCCGGGCTGCATTACCATTTAATCAATGTAATGCCTCTACACACCAGCATGCACGTGATGTCCACGAGAGACAAAGCATGTGGTCAGAAATCACAGTGGTAATAGAAGTGTAACAGTTGAAAAGACGCCTTGCATTAAGAGCCTCTCTTTGGAAATAAATGTTCAACTGTGGGTGAGAAATGAGTCACATGGCCGTTATTGGACCCCATTAAAGATCAACATTTCAGTCTTTCCTGATGGAATAATACCAAAAATATTTTTTAAATAGGGTTGAATGAAAACCTACACCTGCACAGACATACTTCCACTTCTAATTTGTTCACTCCCTCAGTGTGCATGTATGGTATAGTTATATATAAAAGTTACCATACAGATTTTAAATTAGTAATAAGAAATGTAATAATTTATTTAAAATGAGAACTGGATACAGAGTTGGAGGCAGCGCCTCATTCATTCCTACGAATGTTGCTCTTTGGCTCATCACGGGAAAATAGTTCAGCTTCAGAGTTTAAAAATACCCAGATCCTCCGAGGATCATCTGCATAAATGGGCCAATGGAGCAAGTGCACTAGATTTCCCATTAATCCCGCCTCCCAGCACTTGGCCCAGCTTTAGTCTCAGGCTCCTTTACGTAGATGGAGCTGGGAAATATCTCTGAATTCAGCTATTAGTGGATTTACAGCTTTTAAGACCCAATGATTTAAATAAGATATAGTTAGGTAATTTTAAGGGATTGTATTTACCGCTTATTCAATATTTCCCAACGTGATTCTCTGGGGAAAAGCATTTTTGGATCGAACAGAAACACGCGTTACACAGTATACGGCAGACCGCAGGAAGATCCGGACCATTCTGCGGCAACCCAGCTCCTTTTGTAGGAATGAATTGGCCACCACCTCCAAGTCAGTACTCACTTCTCTTTTAACACATCCATAGTAGTGCTCTTCCTCGGGCTCAGGAAAGCTTCTCCAAGGATGAACTTTAGGGCTACTTGAGCTTTGGTGGCTGTGTGGCGCGATGCTGCTCAAAGGCTTGTTGGTTTCCTTCCATTTGATCGTTCACTTTTGTAAAGTTTCCAGTGTGGAACTTGACAAAATAGTCACTCTGTATTGAAGCGAGTCATTCGTCACGTTAAAGCCAACCAAGCTTGTTTTTCCGAAACCAAACTAAGTGGTTTTTTAAGCCTAAACCCAACTTCCTGTCAAGGACGGAAGTCTATTTTCCGAGGCACTTTGCAATTGGGTCGCGCGTACCCACATTTTGATGTGACTTTTGCCACTGGTGGGTTTTCAGTTTAACGACTCGCGATGGAAGAAGCAGCCGACTCACCAGCAACCGCCACTACCGACAAACAGAGCGGGAAAACCGTGTGGGCCCAGACATGCTTGAAGATGTATTTTGACAAAACCAGAAGTACTGATTGGTTGCAACAGTGGAAAGACTAACAGCTTGAGGACGACTTTGTTTAATTTCATTTGAAGGAAAGGCCTGATCGATCATTTGTTTTCGAGGCAACAAGCCAGTCTTGGTTTGGTGCAGGAGAGACAGTTGGGGAAAGGACGTGCATGGTTGTGTTAGGTGTGATGAAAACATCGTAATGGACATGTCCATTACGTTGGACATGTAACATGGTAACGTTAGTCAGAAGTAGAATGAATAACTGTTATTCCGCAGGTTTTTTCATTCGTGTAATAAACTATAAATGACGAACATCCGTCTCGTGGTACTGGTTAATAAACGAGGTGCAGTGTGACCCGGGACTGTTCCAGAGATGACGGGTTGTTTACTGAACAGGTAGGATTTCCACGCCTATTGGCGCTGTTAGACAAAAGAACAGTATTTAAATAAACAAACAAAAGCAGTGGTGTACAGTAAGCGAGCGTTCTAGCTGATTCTCAGGCGCAGGGAGAAAAAGTCAATCTTGACAGTTAACGTTAGCTTACTAAATTAGCTAACGTTACTTGAACAGGACTGCAGCTAACGGTAGCTTTCTATTGCCGATAGAACCATCAGTTATATAACACATAATACACGAACTTGAACAGACCCACTCAACAACATAACTACATTCAGTGAAATGAAAAGCTAACCATGCTTTCTTACCTTCGTGGTTGACATTCTGGACGTCACAATGAACTCCGGTCACTTCTAGTGCGGCTAACACCTTGAGGCAGTGCGGGTTGCCTTCACTGACGAAGAGCTTCATCTAGCCGTTGGAAACTGTTCCGCTATGTGTGGCCCAATATGACTTTAAAAGTGTATTTATTTTACTTTACAACAAGACGACGAGCAGCTGTTTGTAACTTTACCGGCGAGTGTGGTCCACACGCTGATGCAAGAAGTGTTGTCACTTTTACAAATGGCGAAAATGTAGTTTGTGGTCCGCGTCTGTGTCGTTCATAAAATTATAGCCGTCCATCAAACGCACTACAACTCCCACAAGCCACTTCAAAGCACGTAAATTTCGTCATGAACAAGATCTGCCTGTTTTTTACTCCACCGTAGCCCCGCCGGGCGGGATATGAGCGCCGTGCTGTCCATTGCAAACCGGGGGACGCTGTGTAGTTAAATAAGCGCCCAAGTGCACGGCCTGTAATGTTATTGGTTCTCTGTAAAATAATATCGTTCCCTTGTAGCCAATCTTTAACCACCGAACCCAGACAGGGAAAGCTATTTCTTATCCGCTTAAAGCGCCAGGAGGACGTATCACCACGGGCAGTACCGGCCAACTTAATGCCAACGCATTACTGTAAATATGCAAAAGTGCACGGCGGAATTCTCCTCTTTGCTGCCGTTTAGCTAATTTATGTAAAGTTATTAATATTTGTATTTCTCCCAGGAGAAAAGGCGCAACTTCTGCTCTCTGCAGTGCACTTCCAAAAACTCTGTCATCACGTCGCTGCAAGGTGAGTGATGTTGAGTCCCCGAAATCCCCGAAGATGAGATTTCTGCTTGATTTTTTTGCCAGATAATTTATCACATCACAGGCCTCTTTCTGCGGGATAACGCGCTTCTGTTGTTCACTTATTATATTGTTAAGACAACTGTATAAACAATGAATGTTTGGATGTGTGTGTGTGTGTGTGGGGGGGGTTATTTATTAGATTTGCAGTACACTAAAATGGGATGCAGATGTATAACAGAAAGTTATTTTTACGGATTTTTTAAAAATCCTTAAAAATGTTAAAAACTCATCACCCATTCAGGAGCAACTCCTTTCAACACGAATACGTTTGTTACAATGTGCCTTATTGTTTTATCGTTGCTTTTATCTCATTATTACCATTTTCTGTAAGTTGTTTTTTCTTCATTTAAGTGATTCCTTTCAAAGCTGATTTAAGCCTTCAGTGTACAATTACAATGTATCATGATGTTCCAATCGACTGTTAATTCTGTGACAATATATTCTAGACCGATGCTTAAAATCCAATAGCGAGCCAACTTTAACCACATTTACCCTTTACTGTCACAGCCGTTTGCACACACATGTTTGGAAGATCTAATGCATTTAGTCCTTTCTTTTGGTTGTTGTGTTCCTAATCCTTCAGAATATGACGTATCCATCACTACAATGGTGCTGACTCCATGACCTTATTTGTGGTCCTTTTCTATTTCCCAGTCATTAAATCTCACAATGATAAGAATCGCAAATCTCAGCACTTTACGTATGACAGGCCTCTTGCTGTGCTACTGTGAGCGCGTTTGGGCCCTTACATGCTTCTCAGGAAGTGCATGGACGGGGTTAACCACAGGGTGTGATGGAAACAGTTTGACGCATTGCATTTTTGCTGTTCCATAATCTTTCTTAAATCCATGCAAAGCAGCAGATTTGCTCCCATTTTTTGTCGACACTGGCTTGGAAGATTATTCTCCAGCATTTTTTGCTGATTAAAAGTGCCCTGTACCATATGCAGTATTACCAGGAGGGTTACACGCCCGTTGTAATTGCTAGTGTGCATCACAGACTCCTTCTGTGCATGCAACGTCAAAGACACACTTAGAGACTAAAGCGTTTTTACATCCCAGTGTGTTGTGTGCTTTTCAAATTATTCTGCTGCTTTGGGGTATTTGAGCCCTTGTGGTGCAACTGGTGTGAGATGTGTGCATAGATCAGGTGACAGCCACAACACATTTGTGTCTCTCCATGCGGTGTTTTGACATTTGGTCCTTCAAAATAAACTACCACATCTGATTTGACAGACAGATTTCTATTTTGTTGGTACCGATATACTTGTTTGTCTCAAAGATCACGTCGGTCAGTACACTGCAGAGACACACAATCTTACAAATTATATTTGTTGAATTGCTAGTCAAAATATCTTAAGATAACATTACATTTTAGTGAGGAATATTGAGTTGTTTTTAAGACAGTGGATTTAGAATGACAACATACTACTTTTGAGCATATGCGACTAATTATGACGCAACATCCTGATAGTAGCAAAATAAATTCCAACACAATCTAATTTAAAAATGACATTGCATACTTTCAAGAACAAAGGGGGGAGGGTGGGGGGGGGCTTTAAAATGATGATATTTTTATCTATCTCATATTTACTCACTGTACTGTATATGAAAGCAGCTTATTGTCACAACCACTGTACAATGTAGTAGCTCCAATTACACCCACATCTGGGCTTTGCTTTAATCCGCTTTAATCCTGTGTTGATTTTTTAAATATCTTTGCAATGATTATTTCTTAACAATGGTATGGTATTACAATGGCATTACAAACATCACCCAGAAAGTGAGGAGAAGACGATGCAGACTGTATTATCGTCACACTAAAACACAACTCAGATGTTCAATAACTGGCCACGCTGTTTCACAAAGGTTAAAATGAGATACGGTTTGAATTAGAACTGAAACTATTTGTTGATTATATGATTAGTCCCTAATTGGCAGAAACACGTTTAAAAACCAATTATCATTACACATACTTTCATAGCTAAAGCAGTAAAACAAAAAAAAAGAAAAGTCTTCTCTGGTTTCAAGTGGAAGATTTTTGGCTTTTCTTCTTTAAATATCATAGTAAACTGGATATCTTTGGGTTTTGGACTTTTGCTCGTACAAAAGAAGACATTTGAATGCAATACCTTTAGCTCTTAATTACTATGATGGATAATTTTAGTCTGAGTTTAAAAGTATGGTTGGTAATCCTAATACCCATTTTTGATATCGTTGTGGAAATGATCGCTGTATCCCGACAGCAAGGACTGTAATAACACGGCTACCTGTCTATTTTCTTGCCTGGCGTATTCTGGCCTTGCACTCATTGCTCCTCTCTCAGTGTCTCACGGCTGTGAGTGCCAACAAAAGCCTGTAGCTTACTTTTATCAAGATAATTCGGGGGGAGTTTAGTTGGTGGGAGGCCCGAATCGACGGGCTGTCGGTGGTATCAACTAGTCAACTTGTAGAGCTGGTGCAGATGGCTACCTTCAATCATTGAATCATTGGTTTGTAGACTGACGGTTCGAATCCTCGAGTTCGGCGATTCGGCACCATCTTGGACCACGGCTTTAGCCATCTTGGGTTGTTGCGATCGAGGAATGGAAGTTAACGGTATTCGGGATGCAGAGGAGGGACGTAGAGACTTCGTCTACGGCTGTGGTAGTGGCAGCGACCTGTCAATCACAGTAAGCCCGCCCCCGAGCATACTCTGCTCCGTGGTCTATTTTACTCTAAATGGAAACATGATTCACAAAATGAACATTGTGCTGTACTGAAACGTTTAAACAGGAAATTGACACCAAGAACTCATGTTCACGATGTTAAATTAGGTAACAAAAAAAAAAAAATTGGGGCGACCTAGAAAGTTTCCCCCTGCTGGCCAGTAGAGATAATGCAAATTTTAAGACACTTCTGTATTGGCTTCACTTATCAGAACTGGAGGTTTCCACCTGCCTTTATTAGAAAATGTTGGCAACACTAAGCTGAGTTTATTGGTTAGAAAAAACAGTATTTAGTATTTTTTCTGGCAAGATACCTACGTTTAAAAATCACACCATCAAGAAAAAAAGGAAAGGAAAAGTTGTTCTTCACCTGGAGGCACCATGGGTAACACCAGTCCAATGGCCGACACATACTATACCCTTGTTGTTATTTATCCAACGTTTCTTTGTGGAACAAATAACTCCTTTAACCCTGTGAATGTGTCTGTGTGTGTGCGCCTCTGGTTTTGGCCTCAGGCGGTTTAGCTGCCCGTCGTTGTGCGAAAACAGTTTCGCGCTCTCTTCAGCTGCACCCGGTTGAAAGTGGGTCTTTGACTTGCCTGATAGCTTTTGACAGCTCACTCTCATCCCCGGTGGATCAATGGAGCTCAGCGCTCTTCATTAGAAACATCAATGTAGCGCACATTCCCACAGGCTCAGCCGCAACTCACCAGCCCAGTCAGAGAGACAAGCTTTGTTTCGCTATTCTCCAAAAGATCCTTCTTGACTTCTGTGTGACATTTTATGCTTTTTAATTGAAGAATATTGTGGGAACATGATGAAAGGGGAGTAGTTTGTTTGGCGTTAGTTCATACTGGGGAGATGACCGTTAGCAACACAGTGCACCTAAAATGTGAATAAAACATTGTCTATTCCGGTTTATACATCATATAGAATAACAAATATGTGCACACTTCTTATTCTCTTTGACTGAAATGTAGGCAGGTCCTCATATAATGAATCACTACTATTAGTGCTGAAACAATTAGTTGTTTGACGAAGTTTGTCTGTGAAAGTGAATCTTTTCATTTTTCAAGCTTTCACCGGCTTCCGAAGCAAGGCGGGATGCTTATCTGTGTGTTTATTGCAATGCAAATGGATCTTTAGGTTTAATACTATTATTTGGATAAAACTAGCAATTGAAAGCTGAGTGAAAGCATTATGATGATGTCTTTAGTTCAAACAATCAATTATCTAAAGAAGACATTGACAGATTAATTGATTGATCAAACCCGTTGTTTCAGCCTCGTCTACTGTGTTGTGATAATAATGTCTTGGAAAGCACTTTGTCGATTTATACCTCGATACTTTATAAGAAGTGCGTGACATATTTTATGCTGTATTTCCACATCGGAAAAAAAGCTGCTGATTGAAATAATAAGCATTTTTTCACAAGCTTATTTCTAGAATAAGCGTATTATTATTTAACTAGAAGTATACTTGCAGCACATTTTTTACCATCCATTTTTTTCTTTAAAATGTGTAAGCCAATTAAAAATGTAATGCTTGAATTCATTATGGCCAGTTTAAAATGCCCCCCTCCCCCCCGAGCTATCCTACACTACGTTGCCTAACGCTGCTCTGTTTATACTGAACTTGAATATTATTCCAGGGAACTCTCTGAAGAAGTTTGCTATGTGTCGATGCCGGCCGCAGGGTTTATTGTAAACACAAGTGTTGCGTCAGCAAATGCTTGAAATGATGCCATCACACATATGGAAATGTTGTTATGTGCAACAAGAAACAAATAGACACTGGGGAGACACTGGAGACGGTAGTTGGTCACAGAGGTTGTTGTCATGATGCTAGTTGGGAACCCGAGCCAATGACTGCTTCACTGTCATCATCTTCTTTTCGATTGGCTCTGTGGCAACTTACACAGGTAATCACTGAGGGAATCCGGCCCGCCCGTTGAGTCACACACACACTGGAATGCATTGACACACACACACACAGTCACACACACAGAGTCACACATGCAGCTAGCTGTCACACGGAGAAAAAAGCAGTGTGTATTTCAGCGTCTCTCTCTCTGGTCTGATCATCAATAATGCATGAGTTAGGGAGGATGAAAGGCTGTTTTGGCTTGAGGCGTTTGTCTCAAAAGGAGAGGGAGACACATCAGCACCAGTAGCTGTAACTGTACATCCATAGAGTCAACGGCTTCTTGGCCGTCCTCAGTAGAACTGTTTCAA